AGCCTGCTTCTCCCTCTCCCACTCCCTCTGCTTGTGTTCCCTCTCCCGCTCTCTCTCTGTCAAATAACTAAATAAAATCTTTAAATAAATAAATAAAGTTGAGGTAAAATCCGCATCACGTAAAATTCACTATTTGACCGTTTTAACTAATCAAGGATCCATCCTGGAGTAGTTCCTCAGGAAGTTAGACAGAATTACCGTAGGACCCAGGAATTCCACCGCTCCCTATGTACGCAAAAGGACTGAAAACAAGTGTTCAAACAAAAATGTGTACACAGATGTTCGTAGCAGCACTAATCACAATAGCCGAAAGGTGAAAACAACTCAAAGGTCCTTCAGCTGTTGGATGGATAAACAAAATGTGGTCTAGTCCTCCAACGAAACGCTCCACAGCCATTAGAACAAAGAGCTGACCCCTGCCACCACCTGGATGACCTTGAAAACACGATGCCCGGTGAACGAAGCCTGGCGCAAAGGCCACGCGGTGTGTGATTCTGTTTCCGTGGCGACGTCCAGAACAGGCTCACCCACAGAGATGTGGAGAGTTGACTAGTGGTTGATGAAAATGTTTTGTAGCTAGAGGGTGGTGAGGCTTGCCCAACACTGAGAATGAGCTAAATGTTACTGTTGGTAAGTACAACTCAGATTCTACCACTGGCGTTCCCTAACCCACCGGGGGTTCCCTTATCAAACCCGAGGCAACTGGGACCAAGCCCTCCCACCCCAGCGGGGTCAGAGTGCCCTTCGTGGCCATGACATACCCGATGTCCACTTCTGCATTACAATAATGGCAGTAACACTGGGGAGGTTGACGAAGAAGTGAACCGGAAACAGAGAAAGACACGGTAGGGGTGAGGCAGGTCAAGGTCCTTCCCTCCCTTTCTCCCCACTCCTTCCTTCCTCCTTTCCTGCCCTCCTCTCTCTCCTCCTTTGCTCTCGTCGTGACCTCCTGCGGGCCCGCTGATCCAACAGCCTCACCTCCCACATTCTCCCCAACCCCCTCTAATGTGGGGTCTCTCAACCTCGTCACTACTGACATTTGGACCCTGACCACTGTTTGTGGGGGCGGCTGTCCTATGCAATGTAGGATGTTCAGCATCCCCTGGCCTCCACCCACTAAATGCCAGTAGCTTCCTGTCCCCAGGCATGACCACCAACTGTATCTCCAGATGCTGCTGCGTCCTCTGGGTGGCAAGGTTGCCCCCACTGGAGAACCACTGGTCTAACCAAGGACCCAAACCCAACTGAGGTTCATCTCATTGGTCCCATTTCCCCCCGTCTCACAACCAATCCACCGGCACTTCTCCTTGTAGACCTGCGATGAGGTCCTCCTCTTGTCCACTCCCGTCACCACGCATCCTGCCTGGGCCACCTGGGCCTCCTCCTCACAGTCTCTCTGCTTCCCCTCTTGCCCTGATGCCACGTCATCGCCCACACATGCACCCACAGTGACCCTTTCATACTTCAAATCAGAGTCTTGCGGATGGCTCTCCACCAGACTCAGGATAAAAGCTTCCTTCCTGCCATGGTCTAGGAGGCCCCTTTCGGATCTGGATTCCCTCTGCCCCTCTCAACTCCTGCAGATCTTCCTTTGGTTCCTCAAAGGCACACAGTGCATTTGGCCTCAGGGTCTTTGCCTTGCATGTTCCCTTGGCTCACAAGGGATGTCCCTGCAATTCTCAAGGCAGGTTGCTTCTCTGACCTCTCCCCGCCTTCTCGGGCGAAGCCGCCCACTGTCCTACATGCTGCGAGAGGTCCTCTGAGTTGCTTCCTTTTCTGGCGCTCATGGCTCATTTCACGTCTGTCCTGCCCCTATCATGTGAGCTCTGTGGATCCAGGGACCTTGTGGGGTCTTGTAGTCCCCAGCATCCAGCAAGGGACCTGCTGCATATATATAAATATTTGAATGTCTATAAATCGATGAGCGGAATGACTACTGGCCATTTCTTGCAAGTCATAATCCACACCTCTGCTTACTGTTTGGTAGGTGACTTGGCCCTTAAGAACCTAGCTTACATGGAGAGAGAGAGGCAGAGCCAGAGACGGAGAGAATGAATGAAGGGTAGTATTTCATAGGAACGTCTGGGGCTGTTAGTACAGAAGGGAGTGGCTCCTATCCAAGCTTGAGGATGGAGGCTCAGGGTGGAGGGACCTGGGTGGAGAGAGACAGGGAGGGAGTGAGGGAAGGAGGGAGGAAGGAAGGGGTAAGGGAGGGCAGGAGGGAGGGAGGGAGGGGCAGTTCTATCTACAGAGGGGGGTCTTCTCTCCTACCCCTTCACCTCCTTGGCAGCTCCCTCTCTCTCTTCCTCCTCTCCCTTCCTTCACTCCCTTCCTCCTCTCACTCTGCCCGCCCCCCTCCCCACCGCCCTTCGGTGACAGGCTCCTTCTTACCCAGTCTCCTTTGTTGTAGGACACGAACAGGAAGCTGACCATCATGTAGGCGCATTTCAGCATGTTCCATCTGGTCCGCTTGGCTGGCGACTTCTTGGGGGCGGTGGTGGCCAGGGAGAGCTTCTCTGGGAGAACCCGGGGGGAATGATGCACACTGAAGTCATGCCCTTCCCGCCTGGAAATCCCTGCCCGTCCTGAACTCCACACCTCGTCTCCACCTGCCCCTCCAATGGACATTTGGGCCTCCTGCTGCCGGTTCCCCATCCCTCCGCCCCACCCCAACGCACCAGCCTCCTCAGCTGTCCTCCCGCTCCACACATCGGCCCTTGAAGCCATCCTCCACGAGGGTGCCAGGACAATCTGCCTAACACCCAGATGTGACCGCATCGCCTCCCTGCTCCGGACCCAACGTGGTGTGCAAACGGCCTTTCACCTCCCCAGCGTGCTTTCCTGCTCTTTTCATTCTAAACATTCTAGTAAAGTATAACATATGGAAGACCTCAGATTTCTACGATAAGTGTTTTATGATTGTGTGTTCACAAGCCATCAGACCCTGGGGGTGTGTTTGTCTGTTTTTGTGGGAAGTTTGCTTGATTACAGATTAAATTTCTTTGACAAAGCATTATTCAGATATTCCACCTTCTTTTGTTTCACTTTTGGTCATTTGAGTTTTCTTAGGATTTTGTCCATTTTGTCTACACTTGCCATTTTATTGGCATATGGTTTTTCAAAATGTCCTCTTTATTATTCTTTCAATACCTGCAGGATCACGTCCCCCCTAGTTTTGGTGATTTGTTTCTCCTGTATTTTTTTGTTTGTTTCTTATCAGCAATGCTAGAGAACTACATTTTTATTAGTCTTTTCCAAAGGACCAGCTGTTAGCACTGTTGATTTCTATCGTACATTTTTTTCATTGGCTTTTTATCACTTCCTTCATTCTACTTGGGTTTAATCTGTTTCTCTTTTTCAAAATCCTTTAGGTAGGGGGCGCCTGGGTGGCTCAGTTGGTTAAGCGTCTGCCTGTGGCTCAGGTCATGATCCTGGAGTCCCAGGATCGAGTCCCACATCGGGCTCCCTGCTCAGCGGGGGGTCTGCTTCTCCCTCTGACCCTCTTCCCTCTCGTGCTCTCTGTCCCTCATTCTCTCTCTCAAATAAATAAATAAAATCTTTTAAAAAAATTTTTTTTTAAATCCTTTAGGT